CTTTTTACACAGAACCAGGACATATCTTCAATAGAGGTTAAAATAATGAATGGATTTTTTTATGATCTGAAGTTGTAGTCCACTGCTTCAGCTCTATGGAGCTGTTATTGGGAAAAAAAAAAAAAAAAATCAGGTTTTCCTTCTCAATATATCCCTAAAGAAAAGTTGTTCTCAAAGTGCCGAGTTTATTCAAGGTTGCCAGAAATTCAGCTTGACAGTTTCAATGGGGCATATAAATCTCCAAAGAGCAAAGGGGTAAATGGAAATTTTGGGTTAGTTTTGTTCTTGGATTGGCACAATTTGCTTTTTTGAAATTCCATAGGTGAAGTTTTAAAACACTTTAAAAATATCCGCTGTTTCGTTTTTGCTGCTGCTCATTGGTTTAAATCAAATGCATCGGAAGTTGGTTTGCTATCTCTGACAATGTGTTACACTTCTTGGAGAGAATCCCGTGCAGAGAGACTGTAACTCATAAGGTTTACGTTCTCTAAACTCTGGATATTATTTGTAAAGTTTTTTTATTGGTAGCCTAATTCTAAACAGTTTAACTACATTGCTTTATTGCCTAAGCTACAAGTGAAAATTTTAAGCAGATACTTTTTCTTTTTTCCTTTTTTTTTTCTCCATACATTTTGTGTGCTAAATCACTGCTTTAAAATTTAATTTAGTGTAAGAATGGTCTTTTGGTGTTTGCATTAGATATTTGACCTTAAAAATATCTAAAAATGTAATAAAACAGTCAACCGTAAACAAAAGATTTGTTAGTTCTTAATGTTTCCTATGCTGTGTGAAGTGGTGGCTAACACTTCTTGTATCATAAATCATGTCTCTACAGCTTTTTTTTTTCCTTTACATAGGTGAAGATGTAAAACCATTTACTCCTGAGAAAACCAAGGAAATTGTGATGTCTCTACAGCAACCTGCAGTCTTCTGTAATATGGTTGGTGACTGGCCAGCCCTGCACTGGGATGCAAAATACCTTTCTGCGATGCTGGATGGAAAGACAATCCAGTTTAGGCTAGGTCTGAAGACAGTGGACTTAGGTAAGACTCAGATAGACGGGTATTATATGCCACAACTCTCTATTCTAAGTTCTGCAGTCTTATGCATCTCCATTATCACTCTTCACTCTCTTTTGTATTGCTTTTCACTGCAGGCTTTGTTTTTAGGACATGGGATTTGGCCAACAGTGGAACTCTCACTTGTGTGTTTATTCTTAGGAAGAGGCATGGTGGATAACACTAACATATAATAAGAATCAAGCGTCTCAGTTTTCTTTCCTTGCTTTGTAGTGTGTGTGTATTTGGCCTTGGTCTTATATATTATTCAGTTGTTCATGTGAGATGAACTTCCATATCCATAAACTCAAGTACATTAAATTAGCCAGCTAACCAGGCTATCTTGGGGTTTTTATCTCAAAAATGGTGGTGATTCTCACCTTCCTCTAGAGGTTTTATAAGGCTGTGGTGGTTTTCAATACTCTAAGGTCCTCAGATGAAAGATGCTACAGAAGCACAAAGCGTTAAGAAAATTACTTGACACCAGTACAATAATTTCACCTCTTACCCGCCAGGTTCCCTTGGACATCTAGAACATGCCATGGGAGAAAGACAATTTTTGCACTCGATTTTAAACACTACAATTTCATTTCTGCCTGTAGCCACACAATACTAGTTATAGTCTGTCCACAGATGACGTTTCTTTCATACCAGGGAGAAAAGATACAGGAAACATGCTCCAAGGTGATAATCAGTTAGCCACCTTAGAGGTTATGCATTGCTTTATTCATGCCCTGTACATTTTTTGCCCTCCCAACCACACACCAAAATACATTTTGCCATGTACTTTCTTCCTTTCACCTAAAATACCTCGTCTCCCTTCAGTGTGTTTCTTTTCCCCCTAGGCCAGATAAACCCACCTCTTAAAAAGCATTCAATATAAGTAATGTGTTTTAGACTCCACCTAGCTATTCTTTCTCTGTTCTTCTGACTTTCTTCAGTTGGACTGCCTCTTTGTTGGAACGTAGGGTCTGCACAAAGACTCCAGATGGGAGTCTACTAATTCCTATAAAAGTAGTAGAATTGCATCGTATTATCTTTCTTAACAATACTGGGTGAAACTTGCTTTCTTCACGGTATTGTGACCATATTATTTCCTGTTCAATTTTTGCAAGAGGAGTGATGAAACAGAAGTGTTAGAGGGGAAATGCTTGGCATTTTAGGATTTCTGAGCACTTTACCACCATGGATTAATGATTCCTATGCCATTCCTGGCAAAACAGATGTAGTTTATTCACTTTCTACAGATGGGACAACTGAGGCATAGAATTGATACATTGGCACACATCTTCACAGCAATATCTCTATAGTTTGATGAGGTATCAGCCAGTTCTTGCACTGGATGTGAAAGGCAGTCCATTGCCAGTAGGGAAGATGTTGCATATATATAACATTCTCCTTGATATCTTGTTAAAGTGTCTCAGTTGTAATACACAAGACTTCCCAGGTAAAAGGATAGATTTTGATCCTAGTCTCCATTACTTAGTAGGCACTTTTTGAAGGCCAAATGGGTATGCCAACTGGGAAGGCTTCTGATGGGATTGGTGGAGTGTTATGTAGCTAAATGATGGACTGATGCTACCAGCAAAGTAGGCAAGAGTCCTCACTTCACAATAACTTGTAGTCACTAGGGATATAGAGTGGATTTGAATTTGTATCTTGAAGTTGCATCTATCTGCATTTTGCTTTTTCCTAAAGGCATCAGTCCCTAGGCAGCAATCATTTGTCTGCAGGAACCTCCATTATATACTAATGTGAGCTAGAAATGTCTTTGAGAAGATGGGTAGAGCCTTCAGGGGTTATATTGTAACTGGATGAGACCTGTGATGCTATAAAAAATTTGCATTGTAAAGGATATATTAGTGAAGCCATTAGCCATGCCATCTCAGAAATGATCTCGTACATTTCATGTGCCATAGTCATTTGGAAGATGGTTGGTCGCACTCTTGCATGCCTAACATTTCTTTCAGTGAGAGCCTCTCTTTCTTACTATTGTTGATGCTAATGTACCCATATGAAATGGAGGCAGTGATGTGGTTAGAGAAAACAACAGGAGAATACAACTAAAATTGCATTGATCTTTCTGATATTGTTCCCATGTTTACAACAGATTAATTGCCTTAAGAATAGATGGGACCAGTCCTGACACTGAGTCAGAAACATATACAAGAAAGAAACTGTTCTCTTTTTTGTAGGTATATTTTGATGTCACTTGTGAAATGGCTGCTTCAGAGTTTCTGGAATTATATAAGTTTGAGTTTTTGATAGTATTCTGTCCGATTACACAAGCTAAACAATATGTGTCTGGTAGAGCAGAAAAAATACAATCAGAGTATTAAGCATTGACAGAGATAAGATATCTCTAGAGAGAGTACCAGTGTTCATTACAAGCACAATGAAGGTGCTATTAATCAGGAAATCCCCACCCACCTAGTTCCAGCCATGCTAAAAGATTTGTTTTTCTGAAGTGGGATAAAGGTTGAGCAGCAGCTACAGAAGCTGAGTTTCTGGCAGAGAAAATGCAGCATTATAGCTCATCTATCTGATGGTTACCTGGAGCACACCAGCAATTACTAAGGAAGAGCAAAGCTTACACAAAACTGTCTTCTCTATGCAGATGTTTCTTATTTTGACTGTTTTCACTAGTTGTGTAGTAAAATGAATAAAGAATGAGTTTCCTGTGAAGAAGCTGGAGAGGACAAGAGGTTGTCATGCTGATCGGTTATGAGTCACAAGATCTCTGGAGGAAATTTAGAGATGCTGGATAGAGCTGGTGCTGTCAGATACACAGCTGAATAGAAAAGGGCTGCAACTTGGACATCTGTCCAAGAGGCTTTGCCACTAAGGACGGCAAAAGAATTCAAGCCTCTGATGTTTAATGTAGAGAGGACTGCGAAGGTGGCCACAGACTCGGTAGCTGAATAGGAGGCTGAAAATACAGTACAAACACCATGTGCTGAATCAATGTCACATAAAGCCGAGATCTGAGGTGGTTATTGGAGTTGGACGTGGATGGCCAGTTCTTTGGTTTGTAAGGGTGCCTGTGGTTCATTACAGTATTAAATGGCTATTCCTTGCTTGGATTGTTTAAGTAATTTTAATCCCCCAGGAGCTGTGAATAGACATTTGATTTAAGTTTAAAGAAATGGAGAAGACATTTCACTTGCATTCTTACTGGAGCTTTAGGGTATTTTCTTTAAAGAAATGGAGAAGACATTTCACTTGCATTCTTACTGGAGCTTTAGGGTGTTTTCTAAGGCTATTATCCTTTTTTTTTCCGCATTTCCCTTAGTATACATTGTAAATACTGTCTTTCTGAGTAGAACAGATTTTGGTGTCTGTCAAGACCGAACCTTAACTGAGGAAGTGAGAAGCTTCCTCCAAAAAGTACTTCTTCCCTTTGTCCCTCCTTCCAGTTTCAGACTCTGGCATTAGGTGGGAGAGAGGAGGATCATCATTCCTTCAGGTAATATAGCCTCAGACAGCATTTGTACCTTACTTTAGACTTAATCTGCAATTTATCAATTACAGAACACCTTCAGCTTTTAGTCATTAAGTATTAGGAAACTGGTTAATAAAGTTCTTGCTTGCAGCTGCCCACTGCTAACATTTTCACCCCAGTTGCAGTGTACAAGTCCATCTAAGCCATCTGTCTAGATTACCCAAATAAATCCTTTATTACTATTTATTTTTCCATGAGCACCCACACCTTGGTACTGAACAAGTTATAAATTAAACCAAGAACTCTGGCCCGAGGAGATTGTATCCTGGAAGATAATCTTGCCTTTCACAGTTGGATTTTTTAAAATGAAGTTCAGAACAAAATACACTGTACAGTAGAAAGAACGTATTTCTTGCCTATAAAACTCTTGCTCCTGAGTTATCTTGGAAAATAGGCAGTGTCCTGAGCACCCTTTGTTCTCACCAAAATAATACAGGTACTGAGCCAGCTTCAGTACTGCTTCTATCTTTTATCTAATTTTTCCATCAGACTATCTTTTAGTAAGGTGATGCGCATTGCATTAGTGGGCGTTGGACTGAACACAGGGAGTCAGATCTAGGGGGCTGGTTATTGCTGGTGATTTATATGTCGTGTATGCGTTACAGGTAGGGAGCCCTTCTGCACAGACCCAGGCTACGGACTGCTGAATAGGGAGGCTTATCTGACATTTTTAGTTAATGAATTTGATATTGGGGGGAAGGAGAACCACTACCTAGGCTACTACAGTGGAAAATGGCAAAATGATAGCGATAAAGGTTTGCAAAAGCTGTTCTTCCTCCCAAAGGGAATCAGAACAAACACGTGAGACTCTGTGGGAATTGCTGCGGTAACAAAATGAGAGCGGTAAAGAATGAAGGGCTGCTGCTGCACAACAGTGAAAGGATCCCATTTCTGAGCAGCTCTCTGCAAGTTACACAAGGTTAAATCACAGCTCTGTCATTGTCATTCATGCAGGCTGCAGTCACTTTTTCCCGGTAGTAGTTACAGTAAAGTAATATTTTATTTTTTTTTTACATTGGAAGCTGGCACAATTAGCAGCTGTGGGAAGTGAAGATCTCTGATTAACCACAATTAAAGTATGCTATGATGTGGCTTATCTTGTAGACTTTCCAGGGGACCTGACCTTGAGCAGAAAGGCTGTATCAGTCAGCCTGACCAAAGCATGATGGGAACAAAACACTGCTGGTAAATACTTTTTACCTCTGCCAAGGAACACCGCAATATGCTTTTGTCAGTCCCAAATGAGAAATAAGGACACGCAGCCTTTTAGAGGGATCCTTGGCACACGTGTGACTCCATAATTTGCTTCCTATACATTACTGTGCTGATTTGGTTATTGCTTTAAGGAAAGGAAAAGATGAACAGGAGTACATCTGCATAAATCCACAGAGACAAAATAAAGGCCACACAAATATTTGTGTGCACATTTGCAGCTCACACTTAAGAAAGGAGGTGAAGCAAAGGACAGATTCTCAGCTGTTTAGGGAACTGGGTGTGTTATTCAGTTATTGTTCTGAAGAGCGCCTTGCACATGAGCAACAGTGACTATTGGTGTGCTTTTCCCTCACAGCAAGTTCAAGGTAACAGCTATTCACTTAGACCTTAATGAAAAAACAATAGTCTCAGACTTTAATTATGAGTTAGGTGATAAGGACCATTTTATTGACCAGAGTCAAACCACCTAGTCCCACTTCATATCTCATGCTGCATTTAACCAGAGCTGTGAGAGAAACTGTGTATTATTTTTTCCTGGTTCTGTGCTCCGTGCTCACCTAATATTTGACTTTTCTTGTGTTGCTCTAGTTCCCCAGTTTGAAACCACGTGTAGCTATGTGAAGGCTACACTTGAAGAGTTTTTGGCTTGGAGTTGTGGGCAGCTTTCTTGTCTCTCTGGACCATTCAGTTGTTACGAGTACTCCAAATACTGGGCTTATGCTGACTACAAATACATTGCCAGAATATTTGAAGAGAAGCCAGAAATTTTCCAGGTAAAATATTAAAATTATCTCTTCCTAGTTTAGTAATTGCAAATTACCTAGTGTAACTTCTGAAACCTCTACAGCTCTCACCTCTCTGTTCCTTTAGCCTTTTATTTTAAAAATTTCAGATAACACCTATTGGCTCTCAGGCTAGTGGAGAACTAGTACTAAGTAGCAGGCACCTAAAATTCTGTCTCCTTATGTGCTTAAAAACATCATCACAAGTGACAAAAACAGCTACTAGATTGGCATCACTCCCCTTCCTATTTAGCCCAGCATCATTTTGTGACTGGGCAAGCTTGGGGAGCACTGAGTCGTGTGTGACCTTTGCAGTGAAACACCTTCCCTTCACCTCTGCTGAAGGTATGGCAGCGAGGTGGGAATTGGCTGTGGAGATGACAGGCAGAAGACAAGCCTGACATGGTGCAAACTTGAGACCCTGCTGCTGACCCAGAACCACCTTGCACCCGAATGGTACCCAAATTAACAGCTACACTCAGGAGACAGGATTTGATGGCATGGTTCACTTGTAGCAACAAGACTGTAATGTGGGTTTGCTCCATGTTTTGCTTTGTGGCTCATTTTCTGGAGCAATACAGTTCCTTCCCTTAATATGTTTAGATTAGTGTAACTGTTTGCAAAGAGGAGAGATTCTGAGTCTGCAGGATTATTATTCTTTGATTGTCTGTGGAGGCAGTAAAACACATGAAGTAACCTGTCCACGGAATTGCATAATCCATAATAATTTCCAAATGCAGGTATTAGGACACCTACCTAGGGTATTTTCTTTTACTTTCTCCATGTCTATCTGCTATTTCAATGTATTGGTTCATCTACCTTTCTGCTACTTCTCTTTGCAAATTGTTAAGAGGGCAAAATTAAGGATAGCTGTACGAAAGGTGTATTTTTTCAAAGGACAAAGAGTAGTAAATGAAGCCTTATTCATTTCTATACTTTCAAATGTGAAGATGGAATCATAATTCCCTGCAAATAGTGTATCTCTGGAATAAGAGGCAGTACGAACTGATAAGGTCCCTCAAATTAATTATTTCCTCAGAAAGCACTTCCCATGCTCCTTATATGTATTATATTCTTTCATACTGGTAAAATCTGTATTTTCCAGTGCTCACTCTTTTTTCAGACTGTCTCCTTTCCCATTGTTCTGTGGGTCAGAAGGCAAGGCCTGGCCACAGCGACCATCCGACCTTTCTTTCTCTCCACCATTCCTAAGCACACTGAAATGCAAGGATCACATAAACTTGGGCTGCTAGATCACGTTGTTTGAAACAAGTTGGGAGTTCAAGGAATGTTTAAGGCTTCCCCAAATCTTTGAGTGACTTCCTGTATCCATGGTCCTGCCTTGGTCTTCTCTCTTCCTGCCACAACAGACAGCATTTTCCTGTGTTGCATGGCACAAGGTAGTAGCAGCTATGAAGACCTGAATAGCGTGGTGCTTTATTCAGTCAATAAAAACACGCTTGAAAGAAACAACCATTTTCCTACCTCCTCCTTTCCCCAATTCAAGAACAAAATTGAAGCTCCAGGGATTGCATTTCTGGGCAGGTGTCATGCCACAGCCTTATCACCTGACCTATAACAAGCAACAGATTGTACTGCAATTTTAGAATAGATACACGTAATGGTCATGCCGTGGATTTTTTTTTAAAGCAGAATCAGGGAAGGAAAAAAATCGATGGTGTTATGCAAGCAAATATGGTGTATGTCATCTGCCAGTTTCACAGGCATTGGAGTGAACTGCATCTGTCAGCTCCAGACTCGTATGGCTGTTGAAACACTGCTACACAATTTATACCAGCCAAAAGAGATCTTTGTAGAAATTCTCTTCCATTCTTGTGTGAATTTGATGATAACCCCTTTTTTCTCTTTAGATTTTATTTAGATTTACGTAAGGTGATTTGAAGGGGAAAAGAAGGCCAACTGCACTGTTATTTATAGTGATTAATAGGGCCATTTAGAAGTTATTTGAAATTTAGATTGCACTGTTTATCATTTACAGTTGTGTGGGCTAAGGTAATGATTCCATTATTCTAATCTATGAGCAGTATCTAGCATCTTACGTTTTTTGTTCGGTTGATATTTCATTACAGAATTTGAGATATAAATCAGAAACAAGATATATACGTGAAGTTTAAATAGAAATGAGACCTTTTAAAGTGACATACGGGTACAAATTAACTTCATTATAAGCAGCAAATGAAATAAATATAATTCATAAGTAATGTGCCATCTGTTATGGCTGGAACACCTTTTAGTGAATTTCTCCTTACCGTGGCGTTTTATTGTAGAAAAGGAACCCACTGTGACAAGATTTCAGTAATCCTACGAGTTCCTTCTCAGCTCATTGGTTAAAAACTATTTTACCCATAATCACTTCAACTATTTACTACAGCTGCAGCATTTTCAAAAAGTTCTTTTAAATCTAATATTGATTATGTGTGCTTTCTTTCCACTTAAATTGTAACAAAATACAAAAACTATTTAGGTGTGAGATTAAAGTGTAGAGATGGAGTTACGCTTAACTTTATCACTGAAATAGTTGTATTGGATTTTAAATTTTATAGCTGCTAAAATCTATAGGAACAACTTTTTTTTTTTTTATCTTTTGCTGCCTTTGACAAATGTTTATATTACACTTCTGCATTTTTTTCAAATGATATCTTTAAGATCAATAACTCTGAAATTCAAAATCTTTAGTAGCACCTAATTTTTGTGAAGGCTATCACTCATTTTGAGGGTTTCCTGGTACAGAGTCATGGTGAAGTCATCTTTATAACAATGTCTAGCTGTAGTTTTCCTCATCCATAGATCTTAAAAAAGGATAGCCATCCACCTGTCTGCAAGCAGCTAGCTTACATACTTAAATTAGGAGGCTAGACTCCTTTTTTCTCTTTGTAGGCAGCAGAAAGAGAGAGGCTTTTCCAAGGCGTGACTGAGAGTGCTTTGACAAGAGCAGGAGCCAAGCTTAAATTAGGTTCTTAAAGTTAGGTGATGTGAATGACCCCAAAGTGCTTCGCTGAAACGGAACAGATGCTGTTATCTTCCTTTTCAAGATGGGGAAAATAAAGCTCACTGATGAAGTGATTTGCCTGAGACCATCAGGAAGCCAGGAATTGAATCTCTGTTTCCTAAGGCTCAGTCTGGGGCTCCAGCCAAAAGGCACCAGTATCTCTGGCCAGTATACTTCAAGAGCTTTCCAATAACAAATGATCAGGCCCTGTAGATGGCAGGGTGAGCTACAGAAACATGGGAAAGCTTTAGCCAAGCTGTGCAGACCCATCCTGCAAAACCCTTGACCTATCTGAAAAATATCTCGCTGTCCTTTCTTCCAGCTCTTGTGGGAGGGTCAATGGACTGGAAAGCTCCAGGATCATGTTTGATACACATGCATACCTGTTCTGCCCTTTCTCACCATGTAATCAAGCTTAAGTTCACTGCCTACACAGTTGCCTTTCCAGAATACAGGGAGAGAGCTGAGACAGGAGCAAACAGAGAGCAAATGTGCCATGGGGATTATCAAACTGGTTTGAAAAGGGAATAGGGATCTTTCTTTCATTTGATTTTTAAATGCTGTATGTCAGAATTTTTCTAAAAGGTATCCTGTGCTTGAGTGGATGGTTAAGAGTGAAGAAAAAAAAGTGTTGGAAAAGAAGCCACTTGCGGCCACAGGCAGTTGGGCAGTCCTTCTGCAGGGAGAACAGGTAACTGGGGTGATATGAGAGACTGGATGAAGACTGGAGACAGAGACCTCGGAGGGTGTGAGGTCAGAGAGAAAAAAAGTTCAGCAGAATAAATGTAGCTAGAGAGAATTTTGAAGGAAGGAACACAGGCAGTGCATGCAGGAACCCCACCAAAGACCAGCAGCTGCAGTGGATAAAAAGCAACTAAGCAGTGGAGGCAGAAGGTGAGAGGCTCAAAGAGCTGAGTGTAGGATGTGAATCCATTCAACAGCTTACATAAATAATCTTTCCATTGCTCTAGGATATCAGGTGGTCTGACTTTGGTTTTCCTGGAAGAAGTGGGAAGGAAAGCACGCTGTGGATTGGTTCTGAAGGAGCAAACACTCCCTGTCATTTGGACTCCTATGGCTGCAACTTGGTGTTGCAAGTACAAGGAAGGTAACAAATGCATATACATACAATAAATCCATCAGAAAGTTGTACTGTGCTATAAAGTTAGTTTTGGACTCTTTGAGTATTATTTGTAGGTCCTGATTATTTTAGTCTTCTGAGCCCCCAATGACTGAAGAGCATTGGCACAGTTCTATAGGAGATGGCAGAACTTTGGGGGGTTGGAGCTTTACTGGGGCACAGAGGTAACAATTTTATTTTATTCTCTTCGTGGAAGGTCTTTCCTTATCTGTGTGTTATGTGGTTCAATAATAAACTACTACTTCCTAGTAGTTATGAATTCAGGAATTTGGAATTAGGAGATAAAGAGTTAAAAATAAAAAGCTGAGAAACAAAACAGAAATAAACTACTTTAGACTTCTACTATATTCTCTGTGCAAGAGTCTCTAATAGCCTGCTAGAATTAATTTTAAATTGGAACATCAGGATGGGAGCAGCCAGCTGTGAGCAAAGTTGAAAGGGACACTGGAAGCTCCAAACTAATTTTGGAGCATATAGTTTTGTTGCTGTCTTTCTGCCTGTTTGCATACAGTCTCATTTTTCCCCCAGCCTTTTTTTTCTCTCCTTTCCTTGCATATTGGCCTCAGGTTTTTCTTGTTGTTGTTGTTGTTGTTGTTTTTTGTTTTTGTTTGTTTGTTTGGTTTTTGTTATCTATTATTGCTAGATAAAAAAACCATGTTGCATGCATTTTTTATGTTTGATAGCATATAGTGGATGGAATAATTTGCCAGTGGGATTTTAATGTGCTTAATTACTCTGACATTTTATAGAACAGTAAAATCACGGTGGTCTTGTGATTAAGATGCAAGACTGGGAGTCTGTCATGCTGACTTCTGTACTGAGCAGTGCCACAAGTAGACTGCCTTTAAGGCCTGAGGCATATGAATTTGTCATCATCTTATCTGTAAGAAGGGTAATGTTGTTTAGCTCTCAGCCAGGTTTTCATTCATGTTTATAAACAGCCTTGAGATCCTTTTGTGAACATGCAGCAGAGACACTCTGGAAGCCCCCCTCAGCACTGCATTTTGCTGCAACCAGTCCTGTAGACTTCAGGTTGCATCAGTAAGCATTGTGCATTGAAGTTCAGACAGTGTATTTAGGAATCAGAAATGTCATTTAAAACCATGAGACTTACATCCCTAAATATCTTCTAAGGATCCACCTAAATACTGGGTATGCTAAATACAGTAATCCAGCAGGCCTGACATGCCCTGCCTCTTTGATCTGGACCTTCAGGTGTTGAACTCGAGCCAGAATTCCAGCACCAGGTAGCAGTTTTGCCTGCCTTCCCAAGACATTTCCTCCCCCTCCAGTAGAACAAAATAATTGTTTTTCTCAAGGAAAGAAGCCTAAAGCCTTTGCATGGCCCGAAAAGACAAAGTTGTTTTCCTCTTCTGAGCAAAGCCTATAAATAGATTGCAAACTTCCACAACTGTGTGAATCCTGTGCTTCTTCAGAGCAGAAAGATTCCCTTTTGAGACTCACAAAGAAGACACTCTTTTTAACAGAATATAAGCTTATGCTAAACTTAAACAGATTTGCCAGGGACGACTCCTTAGCCCTTTGTTGCTATCTTGGCTTTCCTCCTTGCATCCCTGGGGCTTCTTAATATTTTGCTTCATGATATTGCTTTGTCATAAGCCTGCAGGATTAACCCACGAGCCTCCTAACCTAGTAATTCTCTACCCCTTCATAAGCTCTAGTTTGGAGGGCAAAATAAAGCTGCAGTTTATTAGAGTTTCAGGAGAACTATTTTTTGTGCTTGCACCCAGCAGTAGCTTTGGTAATTATTGGGAAATGTCAGCGGCCGATGGCACTTCCCTCTGTACCCAGACAGCTCTGGCTACCCTGCTATTCTTGTTTCTTCTGGTTTTGTGCCATTTGGCTGCTTTTCTCCCATTTCCAGATCTGTGACTTAGAAGTGGCAACCAGGAGTGGTAGGCAAAAAGAAAGGAGTACCAAAGCAAGGGACAAAAAGAAAAGATTTTGCTAAAGTCTGAAACAAAGAGGAGAGCTGCTCAAATTGTCCAACTGGGCTGTAAAGTACTGCCTTTATTTTTCCATTGCTTAGTGCATGGGTCAATGTTGTACTGATTGTCTGGCACGTCTTAAAGGTAATAAATTCTCCCTTTGTGCTTCTTTCCATCACCTAAAGTACTACCATATAAAACTCCTATTTCTAAATAACATATGTATGTGCTTAGATACTTCATTTATAGTACCCATAAAACTGGCACCACTGGTTCTAGCACATTCCTTTTTCTCTCATTGATCTGCTCTGCGTAAGTGAAGTAGAAACATTAGCTCCTGAGACGGCCTGTGTCTCAGCTCTGCTTGGCCATGACTGCTGTGTGTTGATCTGCTTCTTTGGGTACATAGAGAGCAACCTGGAACACAAATGCCCTCAAGAGCAGAGCGATCCAGTCCTGCTCCATCTGAGATTTAGTCGCACCAGTGAGTTCTTAACCCCAGTGGCCCATGCAAGCCACATATTCATCATCTAGTAATGATAACACAAAAAAACCCACAGGTGTTTCAGGATGCTTTTGTTTATGCCATCTGTAGCACAGGAGCATCAAGGTGAGTTTTGCTAATAACAAGGAGTTTTGCAACTAAAAGCCAAATAAGTACTGTAGGTGAGGCTAGAAAAGAGAAGATCATGTCCCTACTCCTTTACTGTTACCATTGGAAGCACACTGCCCTCCTTTTAAAACAAACATAGAAGCATAGAATGGTTTGGGTTGGAAAGGAGCTTTAAAGGTCATCTAGTCCAACCACCCTGCACGGAGCAGTGTTTCATCACCCTCATTGTAAAAAATTCCTTCTTTGTATCTAGTCTAAATTTCCCCTCTTTTAGTTTAAAACCATCACCCCTTGTCTTGTTGCAACAGGCCCTGATAAAAATATTGTCTCTGTCTTTCCTAAGTACTGAAAGGCCCCAGTATGGTCTCCCTAGAGCCTTCTCTTCTCCAGGCTGAACAACCCAAAGTCTCTCAGCCGTTCTTTGCAGGAGAGGCTGGTCATTTTTGTGGCCTTCCTTTGGATCCACTCCAACAGGTTCATGTCCTTGTGCTGAGGATGCCAGAGCTGGACACAGTACCCCAGATGGGGTCTCACCAAAGGGGCAAAACGTGGGCACAGCAGCTACTCGTTCAATGAATGAAAGTATGTTGTCTCTAACAAAACTATTTCCCCTGTTTTATAGTCATTTGTAATGCTCTGAGCATCTGTAAATGCTGCATGTTGCTCTGTAAAAGGGAGGAAGGAGGAACCAGATGGAAGAGCTTTTTTTTTTTTTTAATTATGTTTTATCTGCCTTTTAAAAATAATTTGTGAGAGGCTGCAAATCTTTTCAGTTAAAAAATTAAAAAGTGGAATATTTTAAAAACGCTTTTAGGAGACAGCCTGTAAGCACTGCCTGTGTTCTCACTGCATAGGAGAGTCACACAGTGAGGCAGATTTATGTTTTATTGAAAACCTTGCTACTGCCTTTAGTTCTTTTCCTTCCACTGACACGCACTGAATACATTTTTATCTTCTCTCTATTTTCAGGAAAAGATGGCACCTCTTCCCACCTGGTGACACCAGTTTCCTTTATCCCACTAGGATCCCTTATGAGGAATCCAGCATATTCAGCAAAGTCAATGTTGCCAACCCTGATCTGAAACGCTTTCCTGAATTTAGGAATGCAACAGCTCACGTCGTTACACTCAGTCCAGGACAGGTACCATTCACATACAAGCTCTGCATTAAAAATTCTAATGAATTATTTAACTGGCTAATCAAGGGCTAGAATATCTTAACACATTGACTGTGGAACTTCCCTCTTCCCTCCCTCTCTGCACTCAGGCTTGGTACGTTTCTCTCAGCACAGGACCTTCCTTTGCTCACAGTTATTTTACTAGCCATTTTTGTACAAAACCCACAAACATTTGGAGAGTTAGTTCAATTGTCTGCCCAATTCCATTACAGTTCTAGCAATCACTTCCAATTTGTCTGCTTTAAAACTTTCTTGAACAGTACTCCAACCTGACTACTCTGAAACCCATACATTCCATAAAATGTATTTGATTAATAAGCGTGTAAAGGCAGGAAAGGAGCTCGTATTCTGATAGTAAATAACCTTCACCAGGGAACATTGCCCAACTTGTTGCCTTAATAGCAGAGCATTGTAATACTGATACTTGCATTTAGAGCACACACCATCCGGAGGTTTCCTGGTGCTTTACAAGGGTGTGAGGTATTATTAAGTTTAGTTGTAAGTGCCTGGCCTATAGTCACACAGACAGCAGCAGTATGAGAGCAGGACTTGTGACTCCTAATTCATAGTCTCTTGCCGTGGATAGGATCCTTCTTCATTGAATGAGGATGGTCTGTGTTTGTTGTCTGAATTACCCTTTCTCGTTTGTTCAGCAGCGCGTGTCCTTGTGACGCGCGCCTGCGCACCTCAAACTGTCAGGCCTTGCCAAGGGACCTTGCCAACGGTCGTTGCTCCGGCCACTTGAGACAGTGGAGTTGCCACTTCTAGAGCCTTTTCACCATTCTCCTACCAGATTTTGTCACCTCTTTTAACCTGCCAGCTCAGCAATGTGGGTGAGTGTTACCTTGCCCCCAGATGGAAAAAAAATTTGGTCACCTTCAACAACTTAGAGAATGGATTTTTGCTAACCCAGCTAACTTTGGAGGAGAATTTTGGAGGAGGCAGAATGAGGGGCACTCCTCTGAACTAATGAGATGGCAGACTGGACCAGGATAGTAGTTTCCAACAAGAAATTATGTCTTAAATACGAAGAGTATGCTTTTCTGCTGGCACAGTTGCAAATTTGGGATCTGTGATCAGCCTTCATTGTTTGCACTACATTAGCTCCAAGTCATACTCCTAAAGCAAATGATTAGTTTCACATTCTGCACTTTGTAAGGTTGCAGTGTTCAATAATTTAAAGAACAAATTTTTACTATTGATAAAAATGCCACATCCATTCAGCACTGCATTATCCATGCTCCCTAACACTATTTCAATTTATCGTCTCCTCTGGAATGATCAAGTGTGATAGTGAACCTTTAATATGATCTTAATTTTAATTAGACTTAAAGCAATTACAAATTAATCTTGCTAGTAATAAAGATCCTGAGCCAGCTCAGTAAGACAAGTTCTCTGCATTGCTGTAAAGAATATATTGTTTGAATTTCTGGGGAGAAAGTAACACAGAGACAGCAATGGAGGAGTGGAGCATTGCCTTGATCCATTTTATCAGTGCCTTTTGGGTGGTGGTTTCCAGCATCTCATCCAGAAGCTTACAGGGGAGGTGGCTGGGGACTGCTGCTGTTTGATGGAAAGGAATGATCTAGAACTCCTTTGTTAACGAGGGAGAGGATCCCTAAATAACAACAATCTTAATACACGCTTAGTAGTGGTTTTAATGTAGAATTCACACAGTTATTGCAGAATTTGCAGCCAGCTTTGTTTTGTGATTAAACATAGCCTCCCTGCTCCTCCCCAGAGGGTACGCAGAACATTTTGGATTATATATTGTAACAATAAAGGGTTGAAAAATAAAGACAAAGGTGTTCTTAGGTATTCAGGAGAGCAACTGCATGTAGGGTGAGTGCAGCTTTGAATATCAAAAACTCCATGTGTCTAATGCCACCTTCTGGCCGTTGTTTGCTACAAGCTGTTTTTCTACACCCATTTAAGACTTTAAAGCAGGATTCTTTCCTGCAACGTTGTACCAATGCACAATGCATGCTTCGATTGCCTTCTTTGTGCCTTTTCACTGTATTGTTCAGAGGTGAATTTCTTCTATGGATTTAGGTAGTTGGCTGAGGCTTCAGGTTTTATTAGGTTTCATCCTGTACTTGACCAGTGACTGTGGGCTGAATTGCCACAGAGATCTTAACACAGCTTCTGGTTGTCATTTAGTGATCTGTTCTCGGTACGAATTATAACAACATTTACGTATCTGATTTATTTGAATAGGCAGATGAGTAACTGTAGAGTTTGCAGCTGTACATACATGACTATATTCATAAAGTTACAAGCTCAAGTTTTACCACACAAGTGTAGGGGCTCCTTATAAATATTTGGACCTGGTTGTCTATGTGATGGTTGCAAGGCTGAGTGGTAAGCACGGAGCAGGAGGCTGACTGCTGGTGGACTTGTGCTTACTGAACTAGTGAACTTTCACTCAAAGCATTAGTATTTTATTTGTTCATAAATTCTGCAGTATTTCTAGTGACACCTTGATTGTTTTCACAAATATACAAATACTGCTTAAAAGAGCACAAATGAGGTAAAATATGTCTGTTCTAGTGTATTCCACCCTACACTTCAGGACAAGGGTTAAGAGAGTTAGGGTGAGACCTGCTACCCTCAGCTTAAACCCCACTGAGGACAGATGTCCTGTGTGCCGTCAGTGGGAAGGACCTGGCACCTCTACAAGGCAATTCATCCTCCCTGTCTTACGTGTAAGTAGTGAAACACTACATTGTTGAGGGAGAGTTAATTTTAGTAAAGGAGAATTCAGAGCTGTCTGCAGCATTATTCATAGTCGATAACTGGTTTGGGAGAGGAAGAAAGAAAGAATGTTCATGGGTGAGACTACAGGCCTGGCTCCAAGTCACCCCACAGAGAAGGCAGACAGCCCAGCTCAACCTCCAGACACCAGGACTATCATCTCCATCACAGAAGAGGCACAAAAGTCCAGGAGCTGAATTTACACTAGAACTGGGCGATGAAAACACCACTCAGCCTGCAACACAGATAGACAACTCCATGAGGTCCCCAAAAGTCAAGCAAACCAAAGGTGAAAACTGTCAGTTCCTAATTCTTTTCCACCTCTTCCTTGAGATTCCCCGCAGTCCCTCACCTGGGTCCCTATGGACACAGGAAGGTAACAGCCCCACTCCCTTCCTGAGCAGTGCTTTTCCCTGTGCCTGTGTTTCTGACATCAGTGGCCCTCAGCACTGTTTCAGCAGGTGGGAAGACATCAGCTCAGGAGGGAGGCAGGGTGAGAAGCACCTTCCTAGCACCGGGGCAGCCAGGCACCACCTGGGGTGGCAGCACTCTCACAAAGTCCTCATGTGGTGTTCCACAGATCTGACTGTGCATCTATCTATTTATTTTTCATTGTCAGGGTTTCAAGCAGCTCTGGGATTTGCTTGAGTCCCCTGCTAGCCCTCCACCTTTTCTTCCCATCGCACTGGCATTCTTTGGTGCTTCCTTTTCTCATGCATTTACCCAAATGTCTTCCTTTAATGAGCAGGAATTCCTTGGTATAATATTTCACTTCAGGTTATGCTTTCTTTTTAAGTCAGTTCCACCTTTGCCCTACCTTTGCACTGTATCAAGTTAATCGTGTCCATTGAGAATTTAAACCTGTTCTGTTCTCTGTGCTGTACAAGTCTTCAGCATTGCTCCACTTGCTCTCCCAGCTGTTCTCTTTCCTCCCCTTACAGATCAGAATTCTGGGATTTCTGTCCTACTTTGGCTTCATCTGCTATATTTGCCTATCACTAGCATAAATATTAAAATTATCTGATTGGTTGCTGTTTAGATTAGTCTCTTCCCAGCCCAAAAATCTAGATATATTCTATAGAAAGCGGGCTAACACAAGATTATCTCTTAGCTTGGAATGGTTCTGTCTTTCTTTTGCACTTTACATTTTTCTTGTAAAATATTTGCTGCATTTTTGTGTGTGTTATTTTACTGTGGTTCACTTTCACATTTCCTACTGAAATGTAGTTAAATCTGTGTCCCATGTTCATGAACAAGGAAGCCTGCTTAGTTTTATTATAGAATTGATAGCTAGGGGTGGTGGTGATGGGGTTTTGTTATTCTTTTTCCTCTTTTTATTTTGCAAAGCTAGAAGAATACTAGTTTGTAAAGGTAGAAGAACCCCACTCTACTTATCTCAGCTGGATTTTTCTTTGTCTTTTGTTTGTTCTGCTTCTCCCTTACTAGCTGTATTTTTGGGGTTTAATTACTTTTTTCCATTTCTTCATCTTCCTTAAAGTGTTTATTTTTGATATTTTCAATTTTTTGCTGCTGTAAATTCTTACTTTAACAAGCCTAAGTTTGTCCAAAAATAAGAGGGAGAGGAAGTGTCTTTATGGTACTTGTTTTGCCTCCAAGTCACAGCTCTGTAGCTCCTCTATAAACAGCATCAGCAAACAGTGCCAGCTGTGGAAATACTCAACCTTAACCTGCAGCAAGTAAAGTCTCCTCTTTGGTTTGAAAAGACTGGACTAGTTGGGGCATTGGCTTTTCCTCCCAGTTACGCCTTCTCTTTCCAAAGCAAGACTGTCTCTGCTTTGTACATGACTTACATTGAGCCAACACGTTCCATTCCTAATTTCCATCTTGTTTTTCCAGGCAGGCCCTCTTACTGAAACATTTATATGCCTCCCTTAATTTACCTCTTGCTTTTGTTCCCTTACTACATAGTCCTTCTGCACCATACCCTAATTCCCTAATGTCTTCATCCACTTCTCCAGCATATTACAAGCTCACTCTTCCTACACAGGTCTCACGGTAAGGACCCCACTGTTGAAAACAGCTACATCCTCCAGAAGCTGTGCCACCCTCTGCTGGATAACAGTTTTCCAGGCTTCATCGATATGCCCTGTCTTTTGGGGGGCACCCAGACTATTTAACAGAGTTCAGTGTTAAGATCCCCTTTATGTGTTTGGGTTTGTTTGATTCTGTAGTCAGTAAAATGTGGACAAACACTTGCTAACAGGTGACTAATTGGGACTAATGTAACTGCATTTTTTCATTGAAAGTGTAGTTTTCTGTGATAAAAGCACCATTCTGAAACTTTGTGTGTGTAGGAAGCATGTTTTGGCTTCAGTCTGTGTAGGGTTTTGTACACTTTTAGATGTCAGGAGCAACTAATTGGTGATATTTTTAAAATAATGGTCCTCCACAAACTGATTTCCTTGTCTGTTTTGTATGCTGTACTGGATTAAAGTACAAATTCCAAATGTTTTTGACCTTTAGAGAGCCAATGATTTTTTTTACTTAAATTGAATCCTGTGGAGAACATTTTCTCCTCTGGCCCAAAAATGACTCTTCTCTGACTGTCCTGTAAGTGTGTGCAGGACTAGGGCCACAGTCATTGTTTCCTGTGCAGACATTTTCTCGTTAGCTCTGTTTTGATATAATGAAGCACAGGGCTATCTAGGTAGCAGAACATTCTTTTAAGCAATTTGTGTCTATCAGGAAAGAGACTTGTCTGCAATTCAGATACAGATCACTGCTTCACTTCCCCATTCTGAAGTGTGTATTTTATGTCACTGACCATTTTTATTCCTTGTCAAAAACCATTTTTTATGCTTTTCCTGATAGCTCCATGCTAATCTAATGTTCAGCTCATCTGTAAAGCTTGTCTTATATCATCAAAACAACATTAATGTCTTGGTACCATTAAAGCCATGGGTTAGAATCAATTTTGTCACAGCTATCATCCTGATATAGTTGTAAAGCTCTGATCTTAACTAGATTGTCAGGATTTCTGGGACACCTTCTTTTAAAAGCCTATCTACTAAAAAGCAACAAGTTCAATACTGGTGATTATTTACCAGAATTAAAGCTACATATTGTTAATCACCCAGATGAGCATTAGGATACCTGCTTTTTGGGGAGGCCAGCTGGCAGTACTTCTAAAGAAACTGGAAAGCCTGCTTAGCTGGTGAGTCTACAAAAGAATTCTTGCTTAGCTGAGACTTTCTCTAAAGCCCTGCTCTACTGCTACACCAGCTGCACTCCCTTTGTAGAGCCAGACCTTGCTTACCCAGAGCAGTTAGAAGGTTACAATCCTGCTTCACAGGAGGAGTCTTGATGAGAGGTAGTTCTGGATCACGTCCACTTCTTACATGACAGTATTGATACAAAGGGAGGAGAGAGTGGGCGTTTCAGCCTTTTCTCAGGGCTCTTTAGAAGAAACAGATGAAGATCACCTCCCACCACTACTCCTTGCCTGATTCTGCCTCTGTATCCCACATTACCTTAATTAAAATCCTTTATCTGTCTTCAGGCTTCTGCTAGTACCTTAATACAATGTCTCCAATTGCAGGTCCTGCTCGTTCCAAGGCACTGGTGGCACTATGTGGAATCCATTGATCCCATCACTGTCAGCATAAACTCTTGGATTGAAATGGTACTTTCCTGTTTATGTCATGGGGATGCAGCACTTCCATGTCTGCATGAGCTTTCATCCCTTGCCTTCCAGGTTCAGCTCTATTTGGTATACTATTTTCAGAGGCTGGGGAGGGAAGAGCCCTTGTGAATACAATTTCTCCAGAAGAGTCTTCCACGGTTTAAAATCTGAAGCCCCAGCTGAGCAGAAATCACATTCAGGTTCACCTCAGTCAGGAAAACAAATACAAGCTAAACTTTTCATGTCCAGTTTATGGGCTAACTAGCTTTGTGCTGGACAGGAGATGACAAACCAGCAACTTCATCTCAAGCACATGCTTACATGCAAAGCCAAATGAGAACTTAAATCAGATTAATTTGATAGGAAGTAAGTGCTGAGGGTTTTTGAATTTTCATTTTTCTGTGATAGTCTTGATTTGCCTGGAGTTGGATCTTCCCAATTAACTGGTTTTCTTTCCCCCAGGCTTTGATTTTTCTTGCTCATGTTAACCAGTATGTACAGGATAGTTCCAGGGGTATTATAGAATAGTTTGGGTTGGAAGCGACATAATAAAGGTCATCTGGTCCAACCCCCCTGCAGTGAGCAATGTCATCTAACTAGATCATCTCTATGCTGCAGAAGGTTTTCTGTTTCAAATTGCTGTGTCATTAAACCTATCATAATATAAAACAATAAGATCCCTTGAAATAACCTTCAAAAACTGCCCTGCTAAAATACTTTTTTCTTTTTTTAAAAAAAGCCTTTAATTAGACTAGAAATGTACAGGGAAATGAACACATACTTTCAGCTACTATTGAAAGACCACATGATGCATTTCTCATACCAACATCAGACCAAACATTTGCAGAGTAGAGGAACTCAGTTAGGTGCTTCAGTTGTGGGGAAATTTTCCAGACAAGACTGTGTTTCGAAAGGACAGCAGGCCCTAAGCCTGTGCCAAGGTTTTATAGCCCTAAGTACAGTGCCCATGCCAAGCTCTTACATTGCCCTAAGTAGAGTCAGGCTGCATCCAGTGCCAGAGAAAACACCAGCAGTGTTGTAGAGCGACAATTCAAGCCTGCCTTAAATTTGAGCAGCCTTTGAGGTAATTCAGAGAAACTGGCTGTGTGGCCTGAGCTTGGAAAGATCATGATGTCAACACACACACTTGTGCCCTAAGCCGTGCCTCACAAATGGACCCTCTCTGGAGCAGCAGGTCAGGGTTGGATCCATTGTGCTAGGTTGGTAGCTCCCAGGTGCCTGCACGATGCATTGGCTATTGCATTTCTTGCTGTTCTTGCATGCTGCAAGAAAAACACATAATGGATCTAAATTCCATGGCCTTTCTGGTCATAAAAGTCTTGTAGAAGTCGCTAAGATCCTGTTTGGTGACAGCAAGAGCAAGTAGTTGGTGTGGCATTATAAACAGAAGTGTTTGCTGAGTCTTTCTAATGAATGATACACCCTCCCCTTCTCCAACTATCAAAAGCTGCCAGAGACAAGTGTAGCTATTGCAACCCAGGTGAAGGTTAACCCCACAGCTGATGTTGGCAGCACTGTCAGGTGTTGGGCAAATCCATCTATAAAAATAAATTCTGATATGGGTGCTAAAAGATAACACTAAGAACATTTTCATTACCAAATCAAGCAACATTTGTAGTCATGGTGAGATCATTAATTATATTCACAAGACTTTAGAGTAGAAGTTTAATTTGTTTTCAGCTGGATGTAAGCTATTCAGTGTTTCTTGTGTTCCTAACCCTGTACTGATTATTCTTATTCTGTCTTATTCAACACACCAGGATGAATACCAAGAGTGCAACACCTTAAATAATGTCCACATGTAGACACCAAACTCTGGATGCTTGGCTTATTAATGGCTTTGTATAACAAGCCCCCAACACAAAGTCACCAAATGTTAAGAGCATTTCCCCCAGCTTCTATCCCAAATTCTGCTCAGGGTTCCAGGATGAATTGCTGCCTTCGACACTCATACTAGCAAGATGCATGGTTTGCTTAAGGTGTTCCCAGAAGCCACAATTAGGCAGTTAAGGGCTGTGAGCTGACTCGGTTACAGCTTTCCTCCAAAGCTTGTGTGTCCACGCAGCTCAGTAAAAAGCAAATTTATGTAGCCACTCCCAGGCTCTTTTTGTTGGAATAACTAAACAACGCATCCTCTTTGGAGCATCTGATTCTCTTTTTCCAAATAGAAGAAACTCAGTTAAGTGGGAAAGAAAGCTAAAAAAGACCCTATAAGCTTTCTTCTGCTATGCTAAACTAGCTAGTAGGCAGCTGCCTGAGAGGATGATGCAGGAAGCAAAGGCCTGAGACAAAGAGCTGGTTACAACTTAGTTTCCAGTTTTGCAAGAGAGCTCTCAGAAGAAAGCTTTTCCTTCTGCTGATGTTTAAAACTGCAGTAGTATATTGGCTGCTGTTTGAAATGCTGGGCTTTGAGCCCTGAGTTAAGGTTGACATATGGGTGATTCCCACAGCCCTTCGTAAAGAGGAGGTGAGTTTGCCTTATAGCTTCCCCCCAGGGTGCGGCCGGCCCTGCAGGGAGAGCCAGAAGGGAAATGAGCCCCAGGGGTCCCGCACTGAGTTGACAAAGGTCAGGTGTCTGCTTGGGGATAAAAGCTGGGACCACTGGCAGGGAGTCAGGAGTGTCTGTCTGTGAAATGGATGTACTTAACAGAGCTTCCTGGTTTGAGGAAGGACCTCCTGACTCTCCCTGGAACTGGGGCCTGGTCAGCTTGGACCTTTGCAAACGTGGGCTAGGAGGGTGAGAGGTGGCCATGTGGCCACCCCTATCTTATGTGTTTAATCTCTTGACCTGGTTGTTTCCCATTCCATCTATGGGAAACCTTGGTTCTTTCTTTGTTCTGCCTGTTGCTGGTCGGGCAATGTCATTGTTGGGATCATTTGGGACAATGTCAATTGCATGTGAACTAATTGACTTGTTTGTACCCCCAGCAATTGTTCATGGAATGCCTTTTCCATATTCAATACAGTCCACTTACTGGTTTGTCTTTCTGCTGGCTGGGTCATTCCTGCAAAAAGTCATTGGCAGAACACTGTTACATGATAAAATATTTCCTGCACTTCCTTAAGACTCATTTTTGTGCATCTGTAGCCCCCAGATAGTCACTGCCTTGCTGTAATATCCTGTGTGTTTTAAGTACTTTAATTAGAAATAATATGTAGATATATAAAATTTGCTGTGTACTTCTATGATCCTCCTGGTCCTAAAGAGCTATGTAAATGCATATATTAAATGTTAACATTGCGTTGTAATTTCAAGCACCAGATTCAATTAACAGAACACTAAATAAGGGAAAAAATTATATTCACACACACCAGAATCCATTTTTTGGAAATCCTTACTCAGATGAGTAGTCACCCCAGAGCCTGCACTGTTACCCACGGGGGGGCTGCATGCCTGAGTGGGAGCATCACAATTCTGAAGCTTTTCACTCACTTCACATACATGAGTATGGCTTTCAAAGGCTGTCCATTTAGTTCTTCCCAAGATCTTCCAGCTTTGTGCAGAGACCTAGATGCTAACCTGTCTCCACACACTTTGTTTCCTTGAGGCAGGATGAAGATCATGTAGCCCGTGTAGAAGAAGCAATAACTCGAACACTGGTATGTGCCATAAAATCAGCAGAAAATCCTGGTGATGGAGATCTCTGGCTAAATCCCACAGAGGTAAGCCCTCTCTTGCTCCCATTATAGCAGTGATAACACAGAATTAGTGACATTTTGCTTAGCTCCCCAAGTCTTCCTACTGCCCAAGAATTTTAAATTCCTTCCCTTCATGCAGCAAACAATTCATGAAGGATAATTGTGCAATGCTGAACTGAAATGTATCTATCTCCTTTTCACTGAGCGTATCCTGGGTCTTTTCTTAGGTTGAAGCAACATCCCATGAAATCAATCTTCAGTACCTGAATAAAGCAGTCTCTGCATATTTGAAGCGTCAAAAGGCAAGTGTGCCAGAGCAAGCATGTTCCAGCAGCACTGGTGCAGAGCAAAGGACAAGCACCTCGTGCAAGAGGAGGAAAAGGGAGGTTGGCTTTGAACTAGAGGGCTGCGGATTAACTCACGAATTTGGCTTTTCAACATTTAAAGCAGAAAAGCTGCAGAAAATACCTTTTGGGCCTCATCTTATTCAAGTTTTACCACAGTCTCAAGAAGCAAGCTCAATGGGTGCAGTTGCAGCTGGAAGTGACAGTAGAGATCTTCTTCATGCAAATGAAGGAGGACAGGTTGGAAAATTACACTGCACCAGGAAGCAACTGGTAATGAGTGACAACTATGAAATGCCTGCACATCAAATGGATTCAGACGGCAGCCCAAACCCCTCAAACACAACCCTTTCTACCAATGATTTGCTAGACTGTTTGGTTAATCCACATGTCATTAATTTAGTGGCTCAGCTGCTGTTGGAGAGAACAAGAGTTTAATGCCAGAGTACTTTATCATTTCTGAAATAAAGAAATCAAATGGCAGCCTTGTTCTGGGTGTTTAAGCTCTGTAATAATTGAATGTTTCATTTCAAATAATTTTTAGGTATAGACACAGTTAATGGTTAAGTGGCAGATGGAAATTGAGCTGAAAGAAGAATAACTGGTTAATGATAGCTGGGAAGAGAAAGGTGTGTTTAGTCAGAGTCCCCGAGAGTTACAAATGAAACAGAGCACACACAGTTATACTCCCACCAGGATGCATGGATGAAATCTTCAGAGTGTTCTACAGCTCTGAGCTGTGAAACAAGTATGGCTTGACAATGGATGGGAGGAGGAGGTGCTGGCACATGGTTGCATAGCAAACAGGTACAAAGAATGGGAGAAGATAAACTGTCTTGCTGTAGGCTGCAGCCCTTGACCATATTTAAAGCAAGAAGGTCAATAAATGATCAGTTAATCACATTAGAAATAGTAAGTTCAAACAAACCTAACCTCAGCCAAGAGACAGAACACTCACTAGTGCATCTCCTTCCTCCCTGCCACAAAATAATTTGTTTTGTCACAAAGCTCTAGGATGGGGTGAGATAAAAGCCCTCAGCAAGAAAGTGGCCTTCAGCTGGTTCAGAAACACTTGAAGCTGGGAAAGGCCATTGGGAAGTTACTGTTATGATTTATATAAAGCCAGATGCATATAGCTCCCTACCTCCAGTGAAAAAAACAAAGCAGTTATGACTTTCTACTTCTGTCCTTAAGATCTAAGGAAGCATTTTGCTTGTTTGTTTGTTTTTTCTTTTTTTGTTGTTGTTGGTTTTGTTTCCTTCTGTTGTAAATGGTTGCTGTACAAGACCATCCTTTCTGCAAAGTATGGTGGTCCCTGGACTCGTTCTTGAAGGCTGGGTGGTCCTTTGATTAAAAGGTTATGGAACTTAAAATATAGGCACTGAAGCTATGCATAAAGTCTTTTTTTTAAAAGGAAATAAAGCTACTGTCTTTTTCTGGGGAGTTCTTGCCTCCTCTGCTCAGGTTGTGGTGGCAACAGAGTACGGTGTTTGCCTTAGCCATAGCTTCAGAGGGGTTTTTCTGGGACAACTGTGAAACCTTTGCTCATGTCTACTAGCACCTACAAATGAGTTTCTACAACTTACCTGTTTCCACATTCATAACCCCACACCACCAGCCCTCTAGCTGATATTTCTTTTGCCTGACACCTATTCCTTGCTAAACACAAGAAGCTGGTGCTGCTATTACAAATATCACCTTCCAGCAACTTACAGTTTTAAAATCACAATGGCAAAGGTGTTTTCTCTGCACTTTTATAAGATTGCATGTTGGCAGGGCTCTGACAGTACCTATTTAGAGCACTTACCATCATCCAGCAGGTCAGAAATCCAGGAAACCTTGCCATTAAAAAAAAAAAGAAAAAAAATCCCCCAAACCCTAATACACTTGGAAGAGGATTAAATTAAGAAGGCTCAAACGTTCACATTTTACAAGCACAAAAACCTTATTCTGATGGGCCCTTGTGGGTGCAGTTACTTCAGCTAGTATGTGGGCCAGAATTCAGCTCATTCCTCTGGCTGGCTTGGAAGGAAAGAGGAAACAAAGTTGCACATGTAGTTTGCTGGAGACCTTGTCTCTGAGAAGGGGCTGTGAATTAGTAGCAGCAGAAAGCTGGAGAAGGACTCTTTACAAGGGGGTATGTAGTGATAGGACAAGGGGTAACCGCTTTAGACTGGAAGGGGATAGATTTAGTTAGACATTGGGAAGAAATTCACTGAGAGGGCAGTGAGACACTGGAACAGGTTGCTCAGAGAAGCTGTGAATGCTCCATCCCTGGAAGTGTTCAAGACCAGGTTAGATGGGGGTTCAAGCAACCAGGTCTAGCAGGAGGTGTCCCTGCCCATGGCACAGGGTTTAGAGCTAGATAATCTTTAAGGTCCCTCCCAACCCAAACCAGTCTGTGATTCTATATCATCAGCTCTGTCTTGGACCCAGAAATGTGCAGTTTTAAATGTCCTTCTCTACCCTCATAGTTGACCTCAGCCCCCAGTGACAAACGGTGAATGTTTCCTCCCTTCATACACAGAGTGACTGTGCTTGAAAAGGCTCACTGGATGTTCCAGAGGTCTTCACAGGGCTTGCCTCCATGGGCAGAGGCTCCAGTGTCCATGTTGGAGGACCCATCTTGGACTCAGCGCAGGAGGAGCTGTTCTCAGAGGGCTGAAGGATCGCTCACAAACCCCCTCTGGCTGGGGAGAGGCCGTTTATGCCTGCCCAGGGGCAGCTGGTGATTTAAGAGCCAGGCTGTGGCCAGAGGCCATCAGCAGAGGGGGTGGGCAGAAGGGTAAGCGAGCCTGTTTAGGATTCCAGGCAAAAGCACCAGGAGGACTTTGTGTTTCAGAAGTGTGATATAAAATCAGTCACACTTGGCACACAGGGGGAAGAGAGAAATGACCACAAATTCAGAAAGTCACACATGGCAAATGGCTCACACACCAGTAAGAGAAATTTATAGCTCTGACCCAGTTTGCAGGATACCAAAGGACATAATTTCTGACACTGATTCCAAATTCACAGCCACTGTGCCGAGAAGCTCAGGCAACTTGCTACATGTTCATTGTGCTAAAAATAAATGACCATAGAATGGTAGGAGCTGAAGGGACCTCTGAAGATCATCTAGTCCAACCCCCCTCCACCAAAGCCCAGGTTGCTCAGGAACACGTCCAGGTGAGTTTTGAAAGTTTCCAGAGAAGGAGACTCCACAACCTCTCTGGGCAGTCTGTTCCAGTACTCTGACACCCCCCACCCCCCATAAAGAAGTTTCTCCTCATGTTTAAATGGAATTTCCTGTTTTACAGTTTGTGTCCATTGCCCCTTGTCCTGTCACCCACACACCACTGAAAAGAGCCTGGCCTCATCCTCCTGACCACCACACTTTATAAACTTTGGTAAGATCCCCTCTCAGTGATTTCTACCCTCTCTGATGACAGCCTGGCTCAGTGAAGAGCAGGAACCCAACACCTAGCCTTCTGCAACCACGAGCAGAAAACTCGAGGTATGTCCCACACACTATCAGCAGTGGGCACAGCAACAGTTGAGATTGCAGCCTGGAGCCATCAGCAGGGTAGTCAGAGTGGTGATGTGCTCGTCATCTCTGCTTTAGCTGAGTGACATAAGAAGTTGCCACTGCACAGCTGGGTGAGGAAGTTAAAGCCCTGCTCCTGCCCAGGGGCCAGACCAAGCAGCGGACTGAGCCAGTGTGTTCAACTCCCCACGGACACCCAGGGCACCCCCCCTCACCCAATGGAAACCCTGTGTCTTCCTGCCCCAAGCCCAGATTTACAGAGGGGTCGATGGGCCAGCCTGCTTCACCTCTCCTGAGCTGCCTGAGACAGCTGCATGCCGTCCCTGAGCACAACCCTCACCTAGGGGCATCTGCTCTGTGGTTGTCTGCAAGTAAAAAAAAAAAAAAAAAGAACACACAAATCAAAAGAGCGTTACTCTTTCATGAAAAACTTCCCCACTACATTTCAGTGAGTGCCATTTTCTTTCACAGCACTATTTCCCCTCCATGTTCACACCTCCCAGGACTTCCACTCTGGCACCTTTGCTTGATGCCACCAAGCAACTCAACTGCAGAGCAGTGACATCTGTTATGCTATAATGTTAACTATAAATTGAGGTTTTAACTAGCAAGCATGGCATATTGAAGAGGCAGAGAGGATCCTTCCACAGAACGAAGTGCCCTTTAAAATAAAGGCAGTGCTACCTGTCAGTCCTTTTGCCAGCTAGTAACCTCCTGGCTGCATTTCTTGGCTACACATGAGAACTGTTCAGGTGCGTGACACAGGCAGGCTGTCTCCTGGGGTAGTGTCCTGACATTTCTGGTGTTACTACATCAGTGGCTGATGGAGAAAGACTTCTGCAAATGGGTGGCCTGTTTTTGCCACTTGGTTTATCTGAACAGATACAGAAAAGGAGCCTAGATGTTCTGCACCACATGTTTCTGTCTTCGGTGCAAAGATGTCTGATTCCATAGCAGGGCAGGGACAGATGTTGCCACATCAGCTGACAGGGCAGTGGGAGGATGGCACCTCTGCATAAAGAGCTATCTGTTTCAGAGCTGTGTTTTTGAAGACATCCAAACTGGATGCTCTGCTAGATGTTTATTTCCTCCATGTAATTGGTGGGATTTGTCCATCTTAATGAGGTGACTGGAAGCCAAAAGCTCTAGTCACCTTGGTAGGACCACATCCTCCAGGACTCTGGGGACCACAGGTGGCAGGTTCTATGGGTTAGGGATGAGGGGAGGATTTTTGTGAAAGTCTCCCAGAAGCCTTGGGAATGCAAGCTGTCTGACCTCCCAGGGTCCCTGTGCTGAGGGACCTGAGGAGCCCTGCAGTGGGTAGAAGCATCCCATGAGCCAGAAGTGTTGCACTGCAGCCCAATCTCATGTGCATTACAGCTGCCCTGGTCCTTGCATTGTCACTTACCTAGTTACAGGGGCACTGTGATGGAAAACATGCAGCTCGACACGTTACAGTTCCTCAGTAAAACCTAGCCCTAGGTTTTAAACAAAACTTCACTCCTTCCAAAGCTCTAGTGTTATTGTTCCAGCAAGAACTTCTGATTCCTTCTGATGACCCATGAAAACCACTTCATGAAGTTCTGAAGCTGACACTTCATGCACCAAAGAACTTTTAAACCCAGCAAAAGAGATGAGACTGCATCTTTCCAGGTCAGAAAGATCACTTGCAAAAAGTGTTTTCTTCTCCTTGGGGGCTATTTAACTCCTGTGGAGACACTCTCTGCCCCATCACCACCATAGGAAGGACACCCCAGAGCTTCCATGGCAGCCAAAGTGTTAAACTTGTTTCTCAATTCCTCTCTCATGCCCTGCCAAGACCCCTCCTCCAGCTCCCTGAAGCCTGGGCAATGCCCGTCCAAAGCACCAGGCAGTAAAACTCACCTTTCCCATTTATGCAGCACCAGCCTTGTCCTGCCCTGGCAGGGAGCATTAATCCAGTCTAATTAGCAG